ACAAATCTTTCCTTTCAATAGTTTTCTTATGGCTATATTTCAGGTTTAGTGTATGCATAGTTTAGGTTCTGCCAGTATAAAAGATGCCACAAGTAATTTCATGAAGCGGAGCTCATGTTTTTCTGTTTTTTTGGCTCCCTAAATGCTCTCACTGACACTGAAGACACCATAATTAAGTTGCCTTGCAATAATTTATGCCCTGCCTAGAATTTCTTTTCTGTTCTTTTACGCATTTAGCTTATCTTGTTATGTGCAACCAATTTCAGGAGAAATTACTATGCATGCCCTGATGATGACACATTCCGGTTCATGGCGGGCATATATAGTCATTCTCACCATAACATGTCTCTGAGCAAGGAATTCCCTGGAGGAATCACAAATGGAGCATTTTGGTATGGCAAGTTCTAAACTGTTTCTTATGCACAAGAACTGCACTGGCATAAATCATTCTTCAAGAGTATATATTTGCACCTGTATAAGTTTTGCTTTTCTTTTCCTTTATTTGTTGCTCAGCGACTACATTAACCAAAACTTGCTGCAGGTACCCAATATATGGTGGAATGCAAGATTGGAATTATATACATGCTGGATGCTTTGAATTGACCTTGGAGATTAGTGAAAACAAATGGCCTAATGCCAATGAGGTCAGTGTTTTTTTTTTTCAAGCTGTATCCGTGTTTAATTGTCAGTACATCACCCCTGTGACCCTGTCCTCCCACTTTCCTTTATTCCCTTCCATCTTACATCATTCAATTGCTTAATCTGTCTTGCCATGTACCTGGACAGCTTCCTACTCTTTGGGAGTACAACAAAATGAGTTTACTGAACCTCGCAGCCAGCCTAGTGAAGGTAGGCTGCAGTGTGGCAATTAATTTTTTTCCTCATGTATTCATACATTAGTTTTTTTCCTGCTTTTTGTGACATCTGTAGTAGGAACTAGGAACCCTCATAAATGATTTTCATGGCAAATACACATGCTGTCATGCAAATGAGGATTTTTAAAATTTCTTTTATTGAAATATATACCGCCACTTTCATACCTCATAAAACATTAGTTTGGATGAGTTGAATGTGAATTTGATTTGAAATTCAGATATCTAAGCAACAATACTATCCATGTGGATTGCATATTCATGTTATTAAAACTAAATATCATTATTGTTTGTTTGATCAAATCATTTTAGATAATTTATAGGCTCAAGGAGATCACAGTTTATTTCTGAAGTCATGCCAACTACATATATCTGATTTACAAAGTGTCAAATCATTATCTAAATGTCTTTTATGCTTAAAGACAGGAATACATGGAAGGATCTTTTCGTCAGATACTGGAATGCCACTCCCTGGCTCTGTTACGATCAAGGGAATAAATTACACAGTAAGTTCACAACCATTTATATATCTTGTTTTTGATTGTTCTCTATTGTTACTAGGGAGTTGTAGTTTGTTCTGCTGTTCTCCAGCACATTGAGATTTTCTTTCAGAAATTGGTTGTGGATGTTGTAATATCCATCACCAAAAACAAATTATTGTCTTGTTTTTTGCCATGATCAAGAAATCTTTCAAGTCCATGTAGTGTCTCTATTCAAAACCATAGCATCATGCGGTATGTCTCTGCTCTAATAGTGGGAAAATTATTTGTTTTTTTGTTTTCCCTTTTCTCTTGAGAACTGTTTCAATGCTATGTAAAATGCATCTTGACATACTTTCATTTTGAACTTTTGGGTTGGTTATTACATAATAACATTGATTGGGATATCAAGTTCAAGCTTCTGTATATAGCTAACCAAACCAGTGGGCCAGTCCTTTAAGGAAATGTTCTATCATTGCTTTGAAAGTTGTTGCTTTGTCATCATATTTCTCTGGTAACATATTCCTTAGCAACTCCTTAACTTCAATTCACAGGTTAAAGCTGGTAGAGGTTTTGCTGATTACCATCGGCTACTTGCTCCAGGGGAGAGATATGAAGGTATGTCATATATTGACGTGTACCAAAACGTGAGGATTAAACTTTGGGTATGTCATATATTGACGTGTACCAAAACCAAAACGTGAGGATTAAACTTTAGCAATTTGGCAAAACATGGAGTCTCCTTAAGGTTTAAAGTAAACAAATAGTACTTCAAAATTGACAAAACAGTATCACTCATTTCGATGAATATTGTAATGTTAGAAAGCCAATCTGTTCCTTAAGTGGCAACACGACAATGCTGCGCCAAAATATCACCCAGAACACTGTTCCATCCAAAAGTAAAAACTTTGTGGAGTTTGAATTGTAAATGAAATTATTAATCTTATGAAATGTTAAATCTTATTCTGATTTAATAGCCTTCATTGCATATTCCCAACACTATTATGTAGCCTTTGATTTAGCTATTGGTTAAATCATTGAATTACATAGGGTAAATTGTACCAGAGCCCCTGTACAATTATTCAGTCAGAGTGCAAAGAATCCTTGAATAAATTATTGGATCGAAACCTATATTTTTTATCATTCTATTAAGTGGGACTGGGTGTGATGTGCTACACACATGATTTTACTTGAATCCATATTGGATCGAAACTGGAAGTCACTTAACAGGACTAATTTGTACTCTTAATTTTGTTCAGGGACTATTTGTTTCAAATAATTTGTTTAGAAACTCTTTGTGCTTTGATCAATAGTGTAGGGACCTCTGGTTCATTTTACCCAAACATTTCTTGGTTCAAAATCCGGTATGATCTTGGAATACTATATATTGATCTTGCAATCCTATATTTTTTATTTACTGGATGGTTTTAAGATTGCTGTGGAATTCTAATATAAACGGGGCAACTGTTTCTGTAGTTATGGCCACTATGCCTGGGTACAAACCAAAAACCACACGTATATCACTGGAAGAAGCAGCCATGACTCTGGACTTTATTCTTGATCCAGAGGTCACAACGAAGGGGAGCCTACGAAGTGTTAATGATTGTAGGTGTGAAAGCAAGTGCGGGCTTGAAGTTTTCTGGAGGGTGCACTCAGAGGTTTATTTTATCTTGATTGTTGTCTCTGTATTCCTTTGCTTTTTATTGAAGAGGAAGCTGAAAGTCAACATTTTAAACCATAGACAGTTGCCTAAAAGGTCAGTTCAGGTATGAGGTATGTATGCACTAGCTTATACGGAACCTTTTACAACAAAAAAAATACATAACTCATTTTTCATTATTTGCAAATCTGCTGTCAAACTCCTAATTATTTGTGCAGTAGGCGTCAGACTCAGACTCTTAATAAACTAATGCCGAGTAAACATTGATTTATGTTGACTTGGTACATTTATTCGTTCTTATAGAAGTAAAATGTGGAGTGAATATCATCACGTCACCATCTGCTGGAGCTGGAATGGCTGTAAAATGTGGCCAGCAATACGCATGGTCATAGATTGCTTTGACATTTGCTTTGACATTTGGGCCGTGGAGAACAGCCTTATTCTGCTGCCCATCAGGATTATTTGGTGAAGTTACAAACTCGATTATTTCCGTACCAGTGCCTGAACTGTTCTTCCATAACGATGTATCCCCTTGAGAATTGAGATTTACTGATTGAAAAATGTCTGCCTGCCGTTCATGAACCTGCAAGGCTTTAGTAGCAACATAAGAATTATCACAGATATCAGTGGAGCGTCTAAAATGTCAATTCAAGAAATTAATAAAAGTAAAAAATCTGAGTGGTACCAACCGGATAAAAAGGAATTGAAGCAACCAACCTGGCAGGCGATGAAGAGTTATCTTGAGATAAAAGCATGGACTGCAGCGTCAAGGAGTGAGTTGAGCCAGCACCAAATACAATAGATCTTTTATCAGTGCCTGCATATCCTACAATGGAATGTACTTTGCGGATGTGTCTCTGGAGCTCTTCAGAGATGAAAGAACGATCACTATATGTGTGGCTCATCCGGTGCCACCCTGCTACCAGAACTGCACTGCTCGCTGCATGCTACATCCAGAAGGAGCCTGCAGATAGAGAGCTGACAGATTATCGTTCATTGATTATATCTTGAAGAATTCTAGGTGAAACTGAATTTCTTGGCCAGCAACTTTAAAATTCTTGAGGGATATCGGTCTCAAAGATACCATTAATGATTATATATCCAAGAACCTCCGTTTTCCAACATATCCCAATATTAAAGAAAAATGACAGCTCAATTTCGGTAATATATTTAAAACTCATGTCTGTCCAGAGAAGAAACAAATACAAACTTTGTTTCTGGGCTAAGTTTATGTAGTGCTTTACATGGCTGAGAGAGCAAGAGAAAGGGATAGACTTTGTTTATGGGCTGAGTTTGTGCAGTACTTTACATGGCTGAGATAGCAAGAGATAAGAAGATTGCTTGTTTGATCAATAAAATTTTAATATTATATTTAAAAATATTTTTAATTTAAAAATTTAAATTATTAAATAAAATTTAAAATAAAAATTATATTATTCTTCATGACATTACTCGGATCATGTAATTGAGCAATGAGCTTGTTATAGCCTATGGAAACCCTTTACTTAACTTTTATTTTAATTTATGATTGATTTTTTATGTGTTTATTTTTATTATTATATAATTAAATAAAAATAATATTTTTCTTTAATTTAATGAAGTATATAATAAAAATAATGGATTTAACGGTTTAAATTGCAAAGCTTGAATTGATTCAATATATTAATATTTTAATTTTTTTTAATATCAATTATTTAAATTACTTTTAAATCTATTAAGTCAACCAAATCAAGTAAAATAACTCTCATATAATTTAATTCTAAACTCAAACTAACTCTATCTAAACTCAAACTAGAGAAGAGTCAAGTCAAGAAATCCTAATATTAATTCATTGAACCATATTTTTAATAACAATGCAAAAACAGTTCTCTATAACCTATATTTTTCTTAAGATTATTTATTTTTTATTCAAGCCATAATGTATTAAACTAGTATTCCTCTGCTGGGAAAAAGGCTTTGTCAAATAACAACAACAACAACAATAATAAATTACACACAATCAAAGCGATTTTTTAAAGATAAAAGTAGAAATAATGTGAAGTATGCTGAAGTTGAAATATTATGATATCCCATAATCAAAAGCTCATCTTCCACATTAACGAGATTCACGAGAAGGGTTGCTATTGGTCAGAGACAAGCCCGTGGAGATGAACAATATACATAACCTTCTCTTTTCTTTTCTTTGTAGTGAACAAAAAATTCAGACATTGAAGTGTGTTGAAATGTTTCAACCTAGAGATTAGCAAAGTTAAATCTTGCTCACATCTTAGGCTCTGGGCACCTTTGAGCGAGTATTTGCCTTGTCTTTTCAAGGACACCAAAGAAGATGGCACCTCCAACACCGATCCATAATACTCTTGGTCCTACACCCTGCAGCAAATGGTCCATAATCCATAAATGGAAGTCTTGTGTAATCTGCTGCAATCTGTTCATTAAAATTTTTACTTCTGAAGATGTTTAATATCCTTTTCCGAACATTACTTTTAACTTATCAGAAGACATCTAAAGTTTTCACGTTTTTTGGAATTTGTAACTTAAATGGAAGCACAGCTCAGAGGCATGCATGTTATTGGGTGATCAAGCTTACCCAGGTTTGAACCCTAACACCAAAAGGTCTTTATTTCATTTTTTATCAACTGATATATAAATATAGAAGGCCAGGTTCCCCCTTTTATAACTAAATGGTATAAACCTTCTCAGAAAAATCATAAAACTTCAATATCTAAGGAGAAAATCAAAATGCAAAGTCATCAAGAACACTCCCAAGAGCATAAAGATATGGGGGCACAAGCTATCAGTTATCCACTATCACAAGACTAGGGGAGTAACCACATCTGACTTCTCTAAATTGAATAACAGCAGGTGCTGTTGTTTTAGTAAGGAACATAACGCCAGATTTCTTACCTGAAAAGAAAGAATGGACACCAGGAAGAAGTATATGAAGTTTAAATGGGAGTACAAATTGATATTTATATCAACTCAACTAAGTCTAACTAGTTTGGTCAGCTGCATGGAACCATCTCTTGTATTCAGCTTTGTTTATTTGGGTCGAGTAACTTGAGAAGTAAATTGAAAAGTGAGAACGGTATATCGCTTCCATTGTCTTTTTGTGAAGGAAAAAAAAAAAATTAAGGGTAGTCAGAAATAGGTCCCAGGTTTGAGCAGCTGTACCATGTTATTGAAACCTAAGGATTTGCCTCTGGATTTGTGAATATATCTACCAAAACAATAGAAAAAAAAAAAGAAGAAAAGACTGACCGCCTCATTTTGATTATTTAAATTTTGGGAAGAATGATAAGAAATGAACCAACCTTCAAAAGAGCACGGGTTCCTTCTTCTTTTGCTATGGTCCTGGCACAATCAAAAATCCCTTTGTACTGGTTAGCAGATCCCTGAAAGATTTGAACAGACAACAAGATCGAAGAAGATTCAATAGTAATTTTCAACTAACGAGGAAGAAGAAGGCTGATAATCAAGCAGTGCAAAAGTTCAAAAGATACAGAAGATTTATGAAATGCATTGAAAGAAAACTTATACAGATTATCTCTACCTGGACCATTAATCTGGTTTTCACTACATCGAGTGGAGTAGTCATGGCTCCAGTTATTGCACCTGCATGTGAACTAGATTAGCTGAGAGATTCTCACGAAAGGAGAGATTTATATACAAATGCAACTATCATATGTATTGTAGGACACATAATAGAGGATTAATGAGGATGAGACATGAATTTTTTATCACCCCTTCCATTTAGATGGAATATCAAAGAAGAAAATTATATCCTTAAATGAAAGGAATGAGTTCTTCCGATAAGAACACAAGACTGGTAGGTCATATCAAGAATCAGTGCTTGAAGATGGCAAAAACTGCAGCTCAGAATAGCTAGCACATCATTTATAACAAGCCGAGGACAAAAATAGTTTATGCAAGGACAACAGTAGGGGTGCAAGTACCAAAAACTCCAGAGAGTAAGGTGAACTTAAGCTTCTGAGAATGCTTCATTACCAGCAAAAGCACCAACTATAGCGATCTCCGCATCCTTCGGATCTCTCTTTGCCTAAAGAAAAACACAATAAAATAGTCATTTCTGCACAATTTCTTAATAAATTCACCCGCAGCATGTAGAACAGTCACATGAGATTCATTAGTTTCCTCTTAACATGATGTAAAGGAAATAATAAGATCCACAATAGCCAGGTAACAGAATTGTTAAAAACACATGCAAATAAATTTTAAGGGCCTCTAGCTCTGGTGAGTAAAAGAAAGCTTACCGCTAACTTATATCCCATTAGCATTTGCTCATAGATGCAAAACTGAATTGCATCAAATGGCAAGTCTCTCAATAAAAAGGATCCATACCCCTGAAAGTTTAAAATAAACAACAAAGTTCATGAGATATGCTTTCACGTGCATAATGGCAAGCAAGGCAGGGGGTAAATCAAGCAGCACTGTATAGAAATGGTACACCAAATGACATGTAGGTAGCTCTGGAAAAAATGATGCTTGTCAGAACTATTACACTATCAAACCTAGTCTCATGCAGGTAAGCCCATAATAAACTTGGAAGTGCTAAATCAAATTTTAAAATTTGAAGTGTTGCATACCGCATAGAGACCTTTAAAACCCTCCTTAGAGACAATAAGATGGATGGCATCAGGGGCTGAAGCAAATTGCCCAGTTTGCATCCTTTGCTTAACAACCTGAAAAATTTCCGGGGAGAAAAGACCTGATAAGAACCAAAGATAGGATGGAGAACAAAGAAGTATACCAAATTACCTCTGTTGGCACACGAATAAGAGAAGAAGCAGCACCTCCAATGGCACCTGCAGTCTGAATGAAGTCACGTACCCTATTAAATCAACAAAGAGAGGCTCTATACAGTAGATGGAACCTAAAGACTCTCTCCATTGCAGAAAAAAGAAAGAAAAAAAGAAGGTGCACAATATGCAACTCAGAGCATGAAAGTGAAGGACTTGACTTTTCTATAGGTTATTTTTCAAACAAGTTTCAACATAGTTTAGCTGAAGATGCACAGGGATGAATTTGGACCCTTCTTACTAGCGTGTTAAGCAAATTTAAAAATGCCTAAGTGATAGAAAGGACTATCAGGGGAAAATATTTAAAGACTGGTAGCACATAAAAACACTGCTGGATTAAATAGCATTCTTGAGAATTAGTTTACCAAGTTGTAGTGCATTAGGCAGGTATCTTACCAGCTGGGCTACGGCACTGAGGTTTTCGGGCAAAGATTTTAGCAATTTCTGCTTTGTGGGTTCATATACGCCAACAAATATAGCAGAAGCCCTGCAAAAGAAAAGAGATAGATCCATAAACTGCATGCCACCAAACACAAAAATAGTTAATAATCAAGACGACAATAAGTGCTAATTAAATTCGAATTATGAAAAAAAGGAAACATACAAACAATGTACAGATAAGAGCAGCAGCAATACAGAACATTGATACAAAAGTACACCATATTTTCACCTATCCAACAATACACCAAAGGATTGTCTATCTGCATTCTCAAGTACGCACTGGATAGGTGAATATACATTGAAACCAAAAACTCACGGTAAGACACCAGCAAGATTTCCAGCCAATCCAGAATAAAGACCCTTCAAATTGATTTTCCCTCCACCATGAACAGCCTAACATGAAAACCATGTACAATTGATTATCATCATAACTCAAATAATAGAAAGTTTATAACTTGTATAAAATGTGCAAAATTTGGGATTCTTTTTGTTTAAGTCTTTTCTTTTGACTCAATAGAATTCTTTTGCACATCCACTGTCATGTATAGTCGCAATTCACATGCCACAGTTTGAAAAGTCCTCCTCCCTACCAAATATATGAAACTTGCTATGAAAGAAGTGTGTCGAAATATTTAGAATCACCAAGAAAACATAACATTTGGACATAGAGCAACTGTGTAGCGTAACTTTGAGTAATGATCAAGGAGCCACTGTGTAGCAAAACTTCAAATTACGATCAAGCAACTAGATATAGTAAAAAGAGTAATTGCACTCGAGTAACCACAATTTTACCAAGAAAATCCAGCACAAGCAAAATATGATGGCATCATGCAACCGTGAAATAGGTGTGGTGAAGAAAAAGGAAATTGCATTTCTGTCAGAACTAAGCTCAGTATAGCACAATTCATGGAATTTCTTTTCAGACTTGAAGCTAGTCTGTAACATTCTGGTAATGGGATGCAATGCGGAGCAAAAACTAAGGCAAAATGAGATTGAATAAGCCCACTTGCCTGCAATCGAGTTTTAATTGTATCAATAGGGTATAAAACTGCTTCTGCAATAACACCTGCAGCACCTCCAGCTATGATGCCCTCTGTAAAACCCACAATAAAAATTTAGGAAGCCTACTGTAGAAAAGCTAGAAGTTGAGTTTCCATTCTTGCTATTTCATTAACAAAACACAAAATCTCAAGGCTGGCCAACAGAACAGCGAGCTCCTCAAATTTGCAAAAATCATGCAGCCAAGATCCTGAATACCATCTATATTGATTTCCCAGGTATAAGCCGCAACAGTTGGGTATATGGACATGCTTTTGGCATTCAGAAAAACCAAAGAGATTTTCATTTTAGCAAGAGTTATCACTTTAAGGGGAAAAAATGGTGGCCAGCATGAAGCTAAAGTAAGGCCACTGAATATCTAACCTAATATGGATACCAATATTACACATTGGACTTGTCAGAGACATTAGAAACGTTTCATGGCATGAAGGCGTATATATTTACACACACACAATGAAAATGTGAATTTGCAACTGAAAAAGAGCGAAAAAAGAAGAAGAAAGAGAGATCAGATCTCATGTTAAAAATAGAGTTAAAACTCTCACCAAAGTATATGTGTGAAGATGATTGCGATAAACTAACCAGCCGTTGTAAATTGATGAAATGTACTGCCACCATTTTTTTCTCCAAAAAAGACTTATTCATAAGATCATGCACATAAGTTTATTGTAGATCCAATTTGATACAAACTTACCATACACTGCATGTAAGAAATAGAATGGTTTGTTCTCAGCTGCACTGACTGATGCGAAAGATCTACACGGAGGCTCCATTGGAGAATTGCACCTCTTATACTCCAACGCACCTGTAATTTCATTTCATTACATTGCTGAAAACAACAATAGCAAGAGAAGACAATAAGTCTGGTAAAGAAATCAACTTCGGAAAACAAATAGCAATGCAAATACTCATCAAGTCCTCACAGAACCAAGCCGTCATCACTGATTCATGTGGATGCCAGACACCCATTATCAAATAGAATACCAATGCTAACACAAGGCAATCCTTCAGCGAAGATTGAGGAAGCCAAGCAACAAGCAATACACGGATATAAAATGGCACAAGGGAAATTCACAATTTCACTACCAACAGTTACTAAGAAAAATTAAAGCGAGTTCCAACTTACCAAGAGAGATTTTTTGAAAATCTGGTACATCCATTGATCGATAGATGGACAGGCACAGCGACACAAAAATGAGCAGCAGCGCCAGCTACAATCAATTAATTACTAAAGAAAATCATTAATCTAGTAATAAAATGCAGTTGCCGGAAAAAGAGAGGCATTGGTATAAAAATTCACGGAGATACTATACTACTAATCTTCTTATCCTGTTTTACTATTTGAATTTTCTGGTACTGTGAGCAGTGATGAAACCAAGGACTCTGTTGTGTTTCTACTGCAAGTAGTGATTTACCGGGATACCCCCTGCCGTCCCCGCCTCTCCCAACCCACCTGGCCCGTTTGGGAGTGTAGCATTTGTTAAAGTTTTTTGTATGTTTTAAAATTATCTTGATTGGTTAAAATAAAAAAAATATATTTTAAAATAAAAAATACCTTTAAAAAATCACATTAAAACCTTTAAATACGATAACCGGTAGACGCTCCTCTGAGATTGGGCCTGGGCATTGGGCGTTTTCTGGCAAGACCGCTAAATACTTCTTTTTGAGGAAGGAGATTTTATTTTTTATTTTTTATTTTTTACAGTAGAAAGAAAGGAAAAAAGATTGGGCTGTGTCCAGTTTTTAAGCTAAGGATAAAACAAACACCCGATCGATCTTCAATGAAGACAAGATCAGGTCTCTTTGACTTGAGATCCTGGGAGACTTCATGTTTGCCTGAAATATCTAGGAATGAGAACACACACACGTATACACACAATAGTAGCTTTATGTGGAAGAGAATGACACGCTGCATTGACCACCAAAATTTGTCCTTATTCTGTGAGATCCCTGTGTCCAAGCAAACAAAATAAATAATTAAAGTCATTTAAGAAAAACAAGCTTGGGAGGATACAATTAGAAGAAAACAAAAGAACATACACCAAATAATAAAAAAGGAAAAAATATTTTCCTGCACGCAAACCCTATATGTATAAAATTAAAGTGGCTTAATATTTGTCTATGCCTCAAACTCGATCATCAAAGCTTTCATGCTATAAATCAATAAAAATAAATTTTATTTTGTAAAATCAAGTACTAATTAAATATCAAAATATTCTCTCAATATCTCACGGTGATTATACATAGATAGACAAAACAACCCGCAGAGCCTATTAGTACCATACCTATATAATTGCAATGCTAAGCTTACAGGGTAAAAAAAGAAGAACAAGAAGAAGAAGAAATTAACGGATTATAAATAGAAAACTAAAGGATAAAAAAAAAAAGAAACTATATTAGATTACCGTTGTAATTCATCGTGTTTGCTGAGAAGGAGGAGTATGGTAATTCCTTTTTGTTTTATTTTTTTAAAATATAAATACAATTATAACCACATTTTCTTTGTTTCTAATATTATAATCAAATATTTAATTGGGAGATCTTTTCTGTTTTTTTGTCATAGATACTTAGAGAGCGTTTGTTAAAAAAATTTAATATTTTTTATATTTTAAATCATTTTAATACATTAATTTTAAAAATATTTAAAAATAAAAAATATTATTTTAATACATTTTAATATTAAAAATACTTTAAAAAACAATCATACTTTTAAATAGACTCTTAGCTACATTGAAATTTGAATTATTTTCATTTCTTATACTACTTTCTTGGACCTCATCTCTACGGTTTTTTTTTTTAATTGAGGTGTGTTTTCTAATAAAAATAAATTAAATATTTTAATTTGATTCTAATCTAATTAGAAAAAATAATTTTATAACTAATTTAACCTCTACTTTTAATTTTTATATAAAATCATAATTTTATATGTAGAGATAGAATCATAATTATGCTAAAGACAATATGATATTGTAATAAGATATAGGCTACAGAAGCATAATCTTAATTCTACTCTAAAGACCCTAAATTAGTTGTCAGGGTAAAATCATAATTTTGAACTCATCATTCTTTGCCGTCCAAAGGGGGCATATTGCGCCCCGCCAGCGACAACCTCATCAATGGCAGCCTTAGCTGTCATCGAACTGCGTCGCCACCAGCATAAACAGTAGCCTTATGGAGACACTGATGTATAACTTGGCCTTGTGCACATAAATTTAACTTCTTATTAATGTTAATAACAATTAAAACATTAAATCACAAACTCTAATTGTATGATGATTCTAATATTATTATTGGGTTTTTCAAAATTCTATATACACAATAATTTTTTAATTTTTTCTAGATTCTCAAGGATCTTACTAATTTAGAATTATCTAGAATCTGAGATTAACTTTTTTAAGATTAAATTATAATAAATAATAAATTATCTAAGTATTTGGTCTTAGATAGTAATTTACATAAACTATTAATAAAAATCTCTTAACTTTTTTAATTGGTCTGAATAATACTATATATTTTATTTCAAAATAATTTTATAAAATTATTTAATTAAGTTTTTATCTAAATTTTTTTAAATTTATAATTGTAATTTTTATATTAATTATATTTTAGCATTGAATTTTTAAAATTTATTTATCGTTAAATCATACATCATCATCATAATTTAATTTTTGATCAATATTTTGATGTCTAATTTATTTTGTGCTAGTTATGTTTTTGGCTACAGTTCTGAAGTGAATCATTTTTTTTAATTTTTTTTTTTTTAGTATTTGTTAAGCAGAGATTGAGTTCTTTGACGATTGGAGAGCGGATCTGTGCCGCGTTTATACCGTTTGCGGCGATCATTGAGATTTTCATTCTTGCTGATGGTAATTGCTCTGAGCGTTTGGTTTCCAAGATCTAGCTCGCCTTGCCGATGGATCTCGACGTACTGCCCCTCTCTCTCAGTTTTGGTGACGTTTTGTTTCCCGGTGGTCATTCAATAATATGATCAGGAGACCGATTGGTTCTGAGAAAAACAAAGAAAATAATTTAATTTTAATTTAGCCTCTCGCATTAGCTTAATTTCAGTGAAGTTTAGGGGAAAAACACGAGTTTTGATTTTTAGTTTATATTCTTAATTTTTTTTATAAAATTTTAATTTATTTTTAATTTTTTTATTTAATTTTAATTTATGATACATTATTTTTTAATTTATTCTTCATTCTTTTAATTTTTTAATATTTTTTAATTATTTTATTACCCTTTAATAAAAAATATAATTTATTTTTTATTTTAATTTTTATCCTTTCTTTTATTTTTTTTGGATTATTTTGTATATTTTTTTTTCAATTTAATCCTTTAATATTTAATTGATTGAGAATTGAATTTTATAATTTTTTTAAATAGAATGTTTTTAGTCTAATAACATAGATCATGAATATAAGAAGTTAACAATGACTAATATTGTTTTTTTTCTAGCTATAATCATTAAATATTTTTTTTAATGAAAATAATCTTTATGATTTTTTTATTAAATTATTTTAATCTTATGATTTAGGATATAAATTTAACAAATTAACTTGAATTAGGTTAATTTTATTACATAAGTTATATATTTGTCAATGAGTTATTTTTATCTTTTTTTTTTATTTTTTTTATATTTAATGATCCGAGAATTAAGCTATAATATTTTTTATTATGAAATTTTTTTTCCAGATGCTTATTATTTTTTTAAAATTCATTCCATATAATATCATTGCTTATTATTTTTTTATCATTTAATTAGATAAAAACAATTTATTTGATGGTAGCTGAACATTATTTTTAAGGAAAAAAAAAAGAGCAAAAATTGAACGTAGAATTTGTTGGGCAATTTCACCCGAACGCAGAACAAAAGTAAATCAAAGGCAAGTGAATTCCACCAGCATTGTAATGTACTTAATTCATAATAAAAAGAAATTACAAATTAATAAAATTCCTAACAGATGCTTCTCAATCATACAACCAAAAAAACCCATTACCTCATGCATTTAAAAGACTTGGAAGAACTTTATGGAGCTTCATTTATAATATGAATAATGATTTTTATTTTTTTAATAACTAAGAATTTTTTTAATTTAGTCTTATTTTTTTAATTTTATCTTCTGATTTTTTTAATGATAATCTAGGTTATCTTTAAAATAGGCAAATCAACTAAATTACATGGAGATAATTTCCACATTATTTTATTTTTAACCCATGATAAATAAAGAGTTGATTTTTTTAATTTTTTTAAATTTTTTTTATTAATTAATCGAGCTGCCTTCCAAATAGTCAGTTAAATGGGTTATATTAGAGTAACATTTATATAAATTAATTTTAAACCTAAGCCAAGCAATAAGCTAGATCAGAAGGTTTGTTAGGTTAATTTTAATTTTATTCTTAAACTTTTTTTATTGATATGTTAGGGTGCCTTTGAATAAACTAAATTTAGTTATTTATGTCACATTAAATCAAACTCTATATAATTTAATTTTAAATTTAAACAAAGTAAAAAGTTAAATAAAAAATATTTTAGATTAATAAATTATTGAATTTAATAATAATGTAAAATAACTTTCTACAATTTAAATATTTTTTTGTTTCCATCAAGTAAAATTTTAACCCGAACTTGTAGTGTAACGTATTCCTGTAAACCAGTAAAATCCTAAAACGACAACCAAACCCGAGAAAAAAACAAGAAGAAGAAGACTCTTTCAAAGTACCTAGCCGCCATAAATAACTGAGCATATTTCTTGAGGAAATTTAAAACTTCAAGGTTGTTGCCTCTAAATAGGAGATGAATCTGCTAGAAAAATCATGTTAAAGAAGGAACAAACAATCCGACCAGGACAAGTCACTTGCGCAGAAAGACATGAGAACCACCTGGCTGAGATGGTCCTCCGAGGGCAAATTTTTCGAGATCTACACTGTTACTCCCCAGCCACATAATTTGTTCTTCCCCTCTTTCAAGTTTGTTAAAATTAGTAAATGATCAAGGCAATTGCAGGGTTAGTAAATAAGGGCCTGTTATTAAGGATTCGACGAAATATTAAACTTCTTTTAAGACATTAAATTACATGTACTATCTAATTTAACTTCTTATTACATGATATAGACGGAAGCTCAATAAAAATAAAAATAGCAACTAGCACAAGAAAGTCGAAATATATCTTCCTAAATCATAGAATGCTCGTAATCTTTGGTTCCTACGGCTACATCACAGTGTAGCATGATAACATTTCCGTTTGAATTAACGTCTAGAATGACAGAACGTCCCTCCCCTACAAGTCCATTCAAGATCCCTTCAGCAATGCTATCCTCCAAAAGCCTCACAACGGCCCTCTTCAATGGCCTTGCTCCATAGCTAAGGTTGTTCCCTTCTTCAATTATCTTCCTTTTTAATCCATCTGTTACTCGTATAATGATGTTCTTTGCCTTTAGCCTTCCGTAAACTTCCTCAAGCATCAAGTCTGCAATCTCTTTTAGCTGTGCATTTTTCAATTTTCTGAACACGATCACTTCATCTATTCGATTCAAGAACTCTGGGCTGAATTCTTTCTTCAGTTCCTCAGCTACTATAAGCTTGACGGTGTTGAATCGTATCTCGTCTTCCTCGTCTTCCTGGGCAATCAAGCTATTACCAATATTTGAAGTCATTATAATGATTGTGTTTTTAAAGTCCACCTTACGTCCTTTACCATCAGTCAACGTACCATCATCTAAAATCTGAAGAAACACCCTGTGAACATCTTGGTAAGCCTTCTCAATCTCATCAAAGAGAACCACGGTATGGGCTCTGCGACGAACAGCTTCAGTCAACTGACCACAGTCATCATACCCTATATAGCCAGGAGGTGATCCAAAAAGCTTTGATACAGCATGTTTTTCCATGTATTCAGACATATCAATCCTGACGACCGCTTCTTTGGAACCAAAATATTCAACAGCCAATGCCTTGGCAAGTTCTGTTTTCCCTACGCCAGTCGGACCGGTGAATAAAAAGCTCGCAATCGGTTTGTTGGGATCTTTTATGCCCACTCGTGCTCGGCGAATAGCATGACTAACTGCCTTTACAGCTTCTTCCTGACCTATAATGTACTTGTGCAGTTCTGCCTCCATGTTTAAGAGTCGACTAGATTCTTTATCGGTGACTTTTTCAAGAGGAATTCCCGTCACCATAGAGACAACAGCTTGTATATCCTCTTCAGTCACAACAAGTTTCTTTGAAGCTGATTGCGCTTGACGCAGCTGAACTCTGGCACCAGCTTCATCGATCAAGTCTATGGCCTTATCCGGTAGAAAGAGACCACTGAAACATATATAAAAGCACATATGTTGTGTATTCAAGATCTAACTAAACATGAATAACATGTAAATAAATTCCAAGGTGTTGAGAAAGGGATTAAATGAAAACATAAAATGCTATCTGATATCTGATAGGTTACAAGAAAAGGTAAGTCGATGTAAATTTTGACCTTATGTATTGGTTTGATAGATGAACTGCTGCAACCAAAGCCTCATCTGCGTATTTGACATCATGATGAGCTTCGTATTTTCCTTGTATTCCTTTCAGTATCTCTACCGCCTCATCAATAGATGGCTCTGGCACATCCACATGCAGAAAACGCCTTCTGAGTGCTCCATCTTTTTCAATGTACCTTCGATAATCATCAATTGTTGTGGCTCCAATACACTGCACAAGAGGGAACAGACAATGATAAGAAATTGTAAATCGGAACATCAGATTACGAATAGACTACACAAGTACGGATTAATTTACCTTTAGCTCGCCTCTTGCAAGAGCTGGCTTTATTATATTAGCAGCATCTAGTGTCTGGCCATTGCCAACAAGGGTATGCAATTCATCAATGAAAAGAACTATATTTCCATCATTTTGTTTAACTTCATCAACAATCCCTGTTAATCTTTCTTCAAAATCTCCGTGAAATTTGGTGCCAGCAACTAGACGCGCCATATCCAAAGCAAAAATCTAAAGAACACATCACAATTTGAGGTGTACAGGTACAAATTACTGGTGTAGAAAATGTGATGATTTTTGGTAAACCAAGGTGTAGGATTACCTTCTTTCCCTCAAGTTTTGAAGGAACAGTGCCTTCAACAATGCTTGCTGCCAGGCCCTCAACAATGACAGTTTTTCCGACTCCAGGATCGCCAATAAGACAAGGGTTATCCTTTCTTCTTTTGCAAAGTATTTGCGTGACACGCTCGATCTGTTTTCGCCTTCCTACTACCTGGTCCAGCTTGCCCTGTAAAATGCCATTTAAAGAAGCCAAAGTCAGTGTAATCGTTGCTAGTTCAGATGTCACCGGTTCCGCAGGAACGTGTGAGAAAAAGAATCGGATTTTACCTCTTGTGCCATTTTTGTTAAATCAGTTCCATACTTGTTTAGCATATCTGCCTTAAAATGTTGCTTCTCGGGCCTCTCCATTAATGTAAATTCAAACTACGATGACAGATGTTCTTTCTGCTACAAGCAAAACACCATTTGCTTGCTCATATATGTATATCAGAACCCGTGATGATCTCAATGCAGCATTCATTACCTGCCGAACCACTTCCCAAAGTAGTCGCTTGCCCTTCTTCCCTTGACACTTGCTCCTGTTAGTTATCAAATCATTAACTACAAGGGATCGGCTTCCCAAGAGCCCAATTCATGCATGGTGTTTAATTTCTATTTCAGGTGCATGCCATGCCCCATGGGTTACTTCTACGTGCTGCATTCGCGTATGCTCATAGGACTGGCCCTAATTTAGATATGCTGAACCATGTTCCAAATGAAAATCCGTACGATTTCTTCTTTGCTGGACAAATATTATCGGTTGATAATTTTCAGTTGGGTTTGATTTTTATTTTTAAAAAATAATTAAATTAAAAAATTAAAATTAAATCAAAACTATTCTGTTCAAAACCAAAAAAAATTATATTTTTTTTTGAGTTTTTTTTAGCTTTGTAATGAGCATTGTAATAGATTTTTAATAAATTTCTAATAGGCTTGTAATTGATGTTCATAATGTCTAATTTTCTTAAAAAATTTCAAGTATATTTAATTTTTTTCTTACTAAATATTTATTTGTATTAAATTGTTATTGTCAATCTTATATTCAACATATTTTTTATCTTTTTAATTTTTTTCTGTTATGTTTGAGTAAGCAAAACTCCTATCTCTTGCTTTAGAAAAGTTTAAATAACACACAATCACACACCAATGTGAGTAAGCAAAACTCCTATCTCTTGCTTAAGAAAAGTTTAAATAACACATAATCACACAGAGTTAAAATTTAAATTACAAGCCATTACCTTAAAAAAAACTTAAAGAAAAAAATAAAAAATAACATTATCATAAAACACTTCAAGTAAAAAAAAATCTTTATTTGCAAATCTTTTCAATAAAAAAGCATATCAACAATATTGCACTTTGATTCCTGAAATTCAAAATCTAGAATTATAACATGATAAATTAAATTAAAAGATATAAAAATAAAAAATAGTATTTTTACCATAGTTTTCAATAAATGCATCAAATTATGAACTAATTATCATATATTCCACCAAATTTTACAAAATAAAAAATATGATAATTAATTCACAATTTGATGTATTTATTGAAACATATGTTAAAAATACTATTTTTTATTTTTATATCTCTTAATTTAATTTATCATGTTATAATTTTAGATTTTGAATTTCAAAAATCAAAGTGCAATGTTTTTTATGTGCTTTTTTATTTAGACGATGTGCAAATAAATTTTTTTTTGACTTGGAGTGTTTTATAATAATGTTATTTATTATTTTTTCTTTAAACTCTTTGAAGACAATGATTTATAATTTTAATTTTAATTTATTAGTGTGTAAATATGTTTTATTTAAACTTTTTTGAAACAGTAAATAGAAATCCTATTCACTCAAACATAATAAAAAAAATTAAAAAGGTAAAAAATATATCAAATATAATATTGATAATAATAATTTAATACAAATAAATATTTAGTAGTAAATAACTTTGAAATCTTTTAAAAAAATAAGACATTATTAATATTAATTATAAGCCAATTAAAAATCTTTTAAAAGTTTATTATAAAGATCATTACACAGCTAAAAAAATATAAAGAGTTTTTTGGTTTTGTACATTAAAAATCAAACCCGAGCATGTTAATTTAGTTCAGTTTAGATTATTATTTTTTTAATTTAATTATTTTTAAAAAATAAAAACCAAACAAAAAAAATTACCACCCCTGAATCCACCCACGCGGATATTTTCTTTCTACCTAGAAAATTCCACAAAAACGACTCTTTAAATAATCTAAATAGGCGTGTAAAAAAGCCAAACAAGTAACACGTGTTATCTTTTCTTAGATAAATTATTTGACCTTTGGGATCGGTTAAGGACCGACATCTAGTGTTTTTCTGACTTTGAACATTTTCTGCTGTCCCTTGCAATCACACAAAGTCTCCGTGTTGCTGTAAAAATCGGCAGCGAAGATTCCGCGCTGTTATACACACGTGTCAGATCATGATTGGATTGTTTAACTGGTCCGAGCCTCCGTTTGTGACTTTCTCACAGAATCTCACACGCAATCCCATCAGATTCTACGCGCGACGTTCTTTTATCATCAGCAAGGAGGAAAAGGTAACCTTAGGATTAGTATATAAATAAATACAATTATAATCACATTTTCTTTCTGTCTAATATTATAACCAAATATTTAATTGGCTGGTCTTTCTTTTGGGTGTTATAAATTCTTAGCTTCAACGATCTTGGATTGCTTTCATTTCTCGGACCTTGTCTCTCTTTCTTGGGGTGTGTTTTCCTACATCACTTCTCTCTTTTTTTGGTCGGGAATTGCTTGGCTTTTGCGTTTCTTGAAGGTTTTGTTTAAGTTCTTGTTCTTGTTTTTAATGGTTTGTTTTGGACTGTGATTGATTATCTATAAGTTAGAAGGAATGGAGTTGATTCCAATTATCATACTTTCTTGCAGCTAAAACTTTGTCACAACAAGCTTTTTCCTAAAAGGATGGTGATGAAAACAAAGGGATTCGTCGACGGTATTTTACCAGATGAGCTGAAGAAAGTCCTTCGATCAGTAGGATCGGAGTGGGGAGATGTGGTTGATGACATGGAATCATTGCAGGTGATACCTTTGAAGGGGGCTATGACTAATGAGGTTTTCCAGATAAACTGGCCTACAAAGTGTGGTAATCTTGATCGAAAATTATTGGTTCGGATTTATGGTGAAGGTGTCGAAGCTTTTTTCAACAGGGATGATGAGATTAGGACTTTTGAGTGCATGTCAAAGCATGGACAAGGTCCTAGGCTTCTTGGCCGGTTTGCTGATGGAAGGGTTGAAGAGTTCATTCATGCTAGAGTAAGCGAAATTTGAACCTCTTCCTTAAGTTAATGGTGATTTTGAAGTTCAATTATATCCATCATTTTATTACCTGTTGACAAATATTTTATTACCTGTTGACAAATATAAAGTATCTCCTTCATAATCTTACATGTTCAAGTTTGTTGAAGTATATTTCTGCTCCCATTATGTTGGACTAAATCAGAGGACACAAATTGAGTTAAAGAGCCCCAGGGCTGTGGAATATTGACCTTCTTTCGCAAAAGTAAACAGTTGGATTAGAAGTTAAAACCAGGCGCTTATGTATGTACAGTTCTGTTGGTGCATAGTTTTTTCATCTTGCATGAATTTGGGGATTTTCCCTTTTTTTACTTGTACTTTTTGCAGCAAACATTTCACATTTCCAGGATGGGATCAGGGTCAAATGGATACTGCTGCAGCAGTATTTATTGTAGCCCGATTGAATTTGGGAGCTATAGCTATGTGTTACTGGGTTTAATAAAAACAAACTCTGTCGGGACAAGCAAATTGAATAATTGGTTTTTACATAATGTTTGTGAAAAGCTTATCTTTAGCTTGATAGATTGAACCATGGCTAGGAATCTCGCATTGACCTCCTTAGATCAGATTTTATCCGAGGAAACCAGCGCTGAGGGAGAAGGTATCAGTACTTTTTATGAATCAACTAATCTTCTCTTTCATTTTCCTCCTTTTCTTGGGTGGATGTCCAGACACTATCAGCTGCTGATCTTCGTGACCATGAAATATCTGCTCTGGTGGCTGCGAAGATGAGAGAGTTCCACAATCTTGAGATGCCCGGTCCCAGGACTGTACTCCTCTGGAACAGGATGAGGTATTGATATGATAATGAAGTTAAAGGTCTTTCTTTTATCGTTGAAAATATTCTGATGCCTTTCTTCTGATCTTCCTAGGGACTGGCTGGTTGAAGCCAAAAGCATGTGCTCTGCCAAATGTGCGAAAGAATTTCGTTTGGATAGTCTAGAAGATGAGATCAGTATGCTAGAGAAGGAGCTGTCACATGACTATCTAGATATTGGGTTTTGTCACAATGACCTGCAGTATGGCAACATAATGCTCGATGAAGAGACAAGATCAATCACCTTAATCGTAAGTTTCCTTGTTTTTTTTAACTATGTTATGTAACTGTATACAAGATCATTGTTTTTGGAGCTCAATGGCATGATATATCCCAATTCCATGAAAACATACAGTAGTAGCATCAGGTGTAGTTTGAAATTCTTCTAGCAAGAAACTGCAAATGATGTTTGCATGGTGACCGTGCATTCTACTGTTATCTAATCGCAGCAGAAGTTTTCAACTGCACAAATGATATAAAAGAAAAGAAAAATGAAATATAAGAAGTGGACAGGTCCGCCTTTTTTTGAGGTATTACTTGTCTTTCTTTAAATGATATCTAATGATATTCACAAGGCTGTTTTCTATTTGCATGGCTGAATTCTTCTATGTTAACATACAGTTTTGTCGTTGCATTTCAAGTTATGAACTTGAAAATAGTAGCCATCCAATCCCTTAATTAAAAATGCACTTCGTAATTTGTTTAGGATTTCCAGTTGCCAAACTTCAACCGGATTTTCATAAAGTGCCCTTTTCCTCCCTTTTTACACTTGCATTCTATCAATACCTTGAAGCATTCTATGCTATTCTGTATATGCCTTGTTTGTTAGGGTTATTCTCTGCTCAGTATCGTGATTAATGAAATGCAATTGTAAGAAAATATGCCTAGGACTAACTTTGTTGATAAAAGGCATTCCTTTCCCTTATAAATCGCTCATTCTTTTATAGGATTACGAGTATGCAAGTTTCAATCCTGTTGCGTATGACCTTGCAAATCACTTCTGCGAAATGGTAGCAAATTATCATTCCGAAACACGTTGCGTATGACCTTGCAAATCACTTCTGTGAAATGGTAGCGAATTATCATTCCGAAACGCCACATATCTTGGACTATAATAAATACCCAGGTGTGCAACTTGGTTGTATTTATTTTTATCCTTCAATTCTGGTGTCTCCATATTTTACCCTTTCTCCATTTCAATGATTT